GAAGAGGAACATTTTTGCTTGGCACCTAAAGAGGTATAATGTACTGTATTTTTCTCTCTATAAGACGCACCATAAGATGCACCTAGTTTTTGGAGGAGGAAAACAAGAAGAAGAAAAAACTTCTGAATCCCAGAAGCCAGAACAGCAAGAGGGATCGCTGTGCAGCGAAAGCAACAATCCCTCTTGCTGTTCTGGCTTCTGGGATAGCTGCACAGCCTGCGTTCGCTCCATAAGATGCACACACATTTCCCCTTACTTTTTAGGAGGGAAAAAGTGTGTCTTATAGAGCAAAAAATGCGGTATGTGCCAGCTGAACTTCCCTGGAGAGAACATTCCACAAGTTGGGAGTCCCTGCAGAAAAGGCTGTTCTTGTGTCCCCATCCTCCAGATGTCTTGTGGTGGGAACACACAAGAAGGACCTCAGATGGTGATCACAGGGTCCGGGTAGTTTTCCTAGGAAGTTTCCAAACCTTCTTCAGAGGCAGTCCCATGTATAATATGTTGCAGCAATCTAATATAGAGGTCACCAGAGCATAGACAACAGAAGTAGACACCCTGTTCAGATAAGGGTGCATCTGGGCCACCAGCCAAAGTTGATGGAAGGCACTCTGCACCACTGAGGCCACCCAAGACTGAAGCGACAGCAAAGGACCCAGAAGGACCCTCAAGCTACGTACCAGAGGGACGTAGCTCCTTCAGAGGGAGTGTAACCCAATCAAGAGCAGGTAACCCAGCTTTTATGGATCCTTGTAGAGGCTCCATCATCTAGTGGAAGGACTGTAGCTCAAGAACAGAGCATTTGCCTTGCATGCAGAAGGTCCCGGGTTCAAGGTAGACAAACCTTGGGGAAAGCTGCCTGAAACCCTGGAGAGCTGTTTCCCATCAGTGTAGACCAGTGTTTCCCAAACATGGGTCTCCAGCTGTTTTAGGACTACAACTCCCACCATCCCTAGCTAGCAGGACCATTGGTCAGTGATGATGGGATATGTAGTCCAAAAACAGCTGAAGACCCAAGTTTGGCAAATCCTGGTCTATACTATACAACACTAAGCTAGATGGATTCTAGTATAGTGGTACCTCTAGTTGCAGTCTTAATCCGTTTTGGGGTGCCGTTTGCACCCCAAAAAGTCTGCAACTAGAGCGCCTCTTCTGTGCATGCGCGGGCGGCGAACCTGGAAATAAAGACTTCTGGGTTTGCTGCGTTCGTAAGCTGAAAGTCTGTAACAAAAGCGGAATGCAACATGAGGTATGGCTGTCTCATAGAACTGTAGAGCTCAAAGTGAGGGTCATTGAGCCCAACCTCCCGCAGTGCAGGAATCTCAACATGCGGTCCCCCATCCAATTTGAAACCATACCAGACCCTGCTTAGCTTTGCAGTTTTATTGCAGAACTATGACCAGCTGTGCATATAAGCAGCTTCCCTAGGAAGCTATTTGCTATAGTAGCCCCAAAAACTGTACAGGGAAAAAACAACAGCCTGCTCATTCAAGGTGCCCCCTTCCTCTAAGTTCCCCCAGGGATACTCTCTAGGACGCCCAGGAAGAATCCTCAAGGAAGCACCAGAGTGTCAAATTAAAATCTCTCCTGAATATTGTAGTATTCAGTGCGGTGCTTTTAGTAAGAGACCGGCTGCAGAGCTGCTACCAAGCTTTGCCTTGCAGTGTTCTTAAATGACCGTGGGGTGTTCAGGGAGTATGAGCACTCCACCCAACGCTCCAAACCAGACTCTAAAACGTGTGCTATACTAAACTGCCGCTTATTATAGGAAGGTGGTATGCAAAGGAGCCGGGGAGAGATCTATCCCTTTCCGCCAGTGCGCAAGAATCCAGCAATCCTAGCACCATTCCCTTGACCTATAATGATTTGGAGACAGAAGTATATGGATCCCCTGGGTATAAAAAGCCCTGTACTCCTCGCCCTTTGAGCCACTGGGGTCACCTGGGAAGTATAACCAGGCCATTTGCTTGTTTATCTCGGACGGGTTTGAAGTCTTTGTGGGCAGCCAGCAGCCAGGACTGCCTTGCTTGCAATTTGTGGGTGGCATTGGGAGAAGAAGGGGGGCTGAATCCAAACACCCCTCCCAGAGAGAGGCCTGCCAGAGATGTGAGCACCCGGTCCCCCCCACCCACTCCGCCTTTCCATCTTCGGTTTTGCCATTCCCGAGATTTGAGACCTCCCCCCCCTCAAAGAGGCCTTTAAACCAGGGGAGCCTTTTATGAAGGGGCCCTGATGGAAATTCGGGTGGTTATTATTAAAGATACAGTAATGGCTGTCTGGTTATCTGCAGCGAGGCCTCTGCGGGGAGGAGATAAGATATTTATTAAGAGACCTGCTTTAACGCCCAAGGATCGCTTTCAGAGGGCCCAAGAAAAATGGACTTTATCTAGTCCATTATTACGTACAATCGCCTGGGTGGATGTTTTACTTCAGTTTGGACACCCTGAATGAAAGCTAATAACTTTCCCGTTATCAGCAGGACACCTGGGGGATTTTTCACTTTGTCAGGGCTTATTTAAGGGAAACTGGGGTGGGGAGAGGGGTGGGGTGGGGGAGTTACACAAGGTTGCTGGGGGTCTCCTCTTCTCCTCTGCCTCAACATCCTCACCTATGCATTGGTCCAACTGGGATACAATTTAAGATGGAACGGTTTTACAGAAACCAGGCCAATGAGAGCGGATCTCAGGAGGTCAGAAAAGTTCAGGTAGGTGGGACACTCTGCAATTGCCCACATTCTCATTCTCAGTCCAATATCTGTTACCCAGCAGATAGGAAGCTTGTATGGTTGTGGGCCTCTCCAGACTAATGTTCTTCAGGGCGGGAGTCAGGTGTAGGTCAGCAACAAAACAGTAAATTACCTGAGGCTGGTGAAATTAACTCTTTCTTTAAGGAAACAACCCACAGCTCTGGCCTAGTGGTCTCAGAAAGACTTTCTAGGAAGTCTTGGCCCAATGAAGCAATTGCAAGGACTGAAGGTCCTTGCCTTCCTAGTGCTCACAAGGACTCCTCCTCTCCAGGGACTTCCCCACGCAGTCTCAGGCTACATCTGTGCACAACCAACCTCTGCTCTGCCTGTTTCATTTCTCGGTGTGTTCTATGGGACCAGGATGGTGGTGGAGCTGGTTGCAGCAGGAGGGAGAGACTCCCTGGCTTCTTCAGCAGCCTGCTTCTCTGTCTCCTGGTTCCAGCTCTCTCCAGCCCCCTCTGCTGCCTCGGAGTCTGAACTGTGCTCTGCCACAGCCTCTTCCTGTTCACTAAACCCTGTCACTTTTTCTCCTCCTCCCAGCCTGCTCCTTCTCCCTCTAACCTTCTTCCCCTGGGGGTCCCCCAGGGGGTTCCCTGGCTGGTGCCTCCCACTGCTCCTCTGTTTCCAGCCAGTCCATATCAGTATTTTTCCATCGAGTGTATTCTGCAACGTGCCATTGGCACGATGCAAGGACATTGAGGGTAGGTTTTTACTTGACCGTCCATGCATCATGCTGCTTTTATCAGTTGTTCTGCAATGCTCCCCCAGTTGCCTTGCTGCCAGCTGGAGGAGTGCTCTTGCACTGCAGCGCAACAAAAGAGCAGAACAACACCCCACTTTGAACATTTGTGGCATGAAAAGTTGCGTCATTTCAGCAGAAAGATGCAGGATGTGGGCCACTAGGAAATGAAGCAGTGTGCCTACTCTGAAAGATTTACAGTATTGAAATTGGGGTTGGCTACACACAATACCGGGACACGAGTGGCGCTGTAGGTTAAACCACAGAGCCTAGGACTTGCTGATCAGAAGGTCGGCGGTTTGAATCCCCGCAACGGGGTGAGCTCCCGTTGCTCAGTCCCTGCTCCTGCCAACCTAGCAGTTCGAAAGCATGTCAAAGTGCAAGTAGATAAATAGGTACCACTCCAGTGGGAAGGTAAACGGCGTTTCCGTGCGCTGCTCTGGTTGGCCAGAAGCAGCTTAGTCATTCTGGCCACATGACCCGGGAGCTGTACGCCTGCTCCCTCAGCCAATAAAGCGAGATGAGCGCCGCAACCCCAGAGTCAGTCACGACTGGACCTAATGGTCAGGGGTCACTTTACTTTACCTTACACACAATACCATCATGAGCACAAATCGCTATGAACACAGAAAAGAAACCTGATATATGGAATATATGGAAAGAACTGGGATTGGAGCTCAAATTAGCAATAGCTAAAGTGCGCAAGGATACAAGATGATACCATAAAATATACGAAACAATAAATACAACTTTAATTAACACAACAAGAAACAATATTATATAGAGAAGATTGCACACGGGTTAAGGGAAGCAATGGGTCGGGAGGGAGGGAGGTATAGGGCAATACTTGGAAAATTGTTAAGGATACATAGGTGATTTAAGAGGCTAAGATTAAGGAGTTAAAAAAATAAGACTAACATTAAAGAATAGAAAAACAAGGGAATTTGAGAAGAATTTGGTGCAAATGAAAATATGTGAGTCATGTTTTTGCTTGTATTCTGGTTTATTTTGGATGTAAAGTCTTCTGTTGAAAGGACTGTAGATGAAATAAAATGAAAAATGAAAAATGAAAAATGAAAAATGAAAAATGAAAAATGAAAAATGAAAAATGAAAAATGAAAAAAATGGATATAAGGAGGCTCTTTACATTAAAGAGTTGATGCACCACCAATATAACAGCACCCTCCTTGGTTTTGCATTGGGGCAGCAACTCATAATAGGGAACCTGCACTGATTATTATTTTTTAAAATATATGCTAGCTGAAACCACACCAGGTTTGATGCAGGAGTCAATCATAGAATCATAGAATTGTAGCATTGGAAGGGATTCTGAGCTTCATTTAGTTTGTGTTTTCAGCCCGGGTTGCTTACAACCCCGCTGCAGGCTTTCCCAGTCAACGTGCTCCAATTTAAGAACACCTGAATGAGGCTAGCATGCTGGGAAAGCAGAACAGAATCTTGGGTTCTTGGCTTTCATATATGAACAGGTGGACCCTACAACAAAGCGTTGCAGCATGAAGTGCTTCTGTTCAGGGTTGCAGCCGGCCAGGCCCTCCACCAGGATGCTCCATTCCATTCCTTCTCCCTGATGTTTTCTGTTCTTCTCCTCCCACAACAAATCAGTCAGCATTCCCTACTCCCTGAGCAAGCACTGTCCCTATCGGACTATTTCTACCTCCTCCAAAGATTGCCTGCAAGCCTTAGAGTTCCCCAACAGCTGTTTATACCTCCTTTCTTATGCATGGATGGTGCCATATGGTGTCTACATGAAGGCCTATGCTCAGGGAATGAGTTCATTATGATTATGTAGGACAGGTGAATGGATGGATTTAACGGTGCTTATTTCTTGCCTCGGTTTGTTTGGAATACTTCCGGCCTTCGATAAGTCCCTTTTCTCCTATGCGGTCTTGTTTGCCTCCTCGCACCTGTACACTGGCTAGCCCTGCTGACAGCTGCCTCTGCCGTTCACGAAACTGGCTGATAAGGCCGTAAAGCAAATAGGAAGTTCACAAAGAGACAGAATCCATCACCCTTGCTCAATTAGCAGGAAAGGATTTTTCTGGCTGGCAGGGCTGAGGCACCAGCAGGCTCTATTGGCAGCCAAAGGTGAAGGCGGGAGGCAGAGATACTGGTTTCCAGTTTCACAGTGGCCTTTAGGCATAAATACAAGACCATGGAGTATCTCAAGGCCAAACAAGATGCTACAAAGGAAACTGCCTTATAATGAGTCAGATCCTCAGGACTGGAAGAAGTGCACCAGGGATTTAAGATCAGAGTTTCTCCCCTGGAGATCCCAGGGGTTTAATCAGGGACCTTCCACATTCAAAACAGATGTGCTACTCCTGAGCTACTGCCCTTACCCACTGTGTGAGTAATGACAATGTGTGCCATTGCCTCCCGATCCTCTCCATTGACGCTGAACTGGACAAGTGTGTTAGCAAGGCAGCTACGGCAATGGCTCACCTCTCTGAAGAATATGGGAGAATATTAAATTGAAATTGAAATACTTTATTGTCACTTGTACAACTTGT